GAAGCATGTATCAGTTCATATGCAGGGAGGATGCGGATTTTCATCAACCCTTTAGGGCTTTGGGCTTCAGGGATCAGGGTTTGGAGTCTTCACGCGACTGGGCAGCTGCATGGACTCGTCCTTGAACCCCGGAGCCGACCCTATCATGTACTCATACCGGCTTCGACCCACCAGCGCCTGGACCTAAGCCTCAAAACTAAGCTAGACATGGTAATGTAGGGGCATGAGCAAGTAGGACAGAGTTTCGGTGGGTTTTCGGCAGAACTGATCAGTTCCAGCTTGGGGTAGTATACGTGCGGACACATCAGTCTGCAAGCTGTCAGCGCCGTCCTTTATGGAATCTGGGCGAGCTACTGACATATCTTTGCTTGCTGCGCTCCCCAGTGAGGGAAACGGGTTCGCCAGGTGGGGACCTGGCAAGGCCTACATCAGCCTTTCACGGTACAATCAGCGCAGCCTCATGCCATGGCCCAAGTACCTATATGTAGTATGTGTGTATGCATGCATGTATGTACGTACGCAGGTATGCATGCAGCTATGCATGTATGTATGTACGTACGTACGTATGTATGTATGTACATATGTCCTGCATCCATGCTTGCTTGCTTGCTTGTATGTATGTATAGATGCTTATATACAAGAGTAGAGATATGCACATATGTATACGCGTGTGTGTGTGTGTGTGCGCATATGTTTTGTTGTGTAAATACGTAATTAATTTCAAGCATTTCAAGCAATATTATTGTTTGTAATTAATTGCGTATTTAGACAACAAAACATATGGGCACACACACACACGCGTATTAATATCAGCCCCTTGTGGCGGCACCTTAAGGCCAACATCTGTGCAAGATACGCACATGAGCCCTGCGAAATTTATGGTAAGCCCTACAGAACCCCACCAAAGCCTTTCGAACCCTTGAGAACACTCAAGATATGTGTGTGCCCTTGTTGTAACGGCCAGGACACCATGCAGCTTCGTTATACCCGGAACTTACGGCTTCATAACTTGGTTTCAGGGTTTGGGGCTCTAGGGTATGTGAGTATATGAGTTTATGGGGTTTATAGAGTTTAGGGCCCAGGAAAACCAACCCATGGGAGAAGAAGCTGCAAGCTTGACAACTGAAACAAGGCCGTGAGCGAAACAAATGCCAGGCTGATCCACGGACTTCTGAGAAGCCTCCAGGATGAAAATACATATGCAAGACCCATCGACCCTCGACACCTTGAACTTGAACCTCTGAGGCCATCACACAAGAGGTCAACAGCTTTTCAATCACAGCACAGGGCGGATGCATGCGAGGAAAGTGGTCGTCTCCGAGGGTGAAACTGGGCTAACTGGGGCAACTTCGGCAAGCTGAGCGCGTAGAGCATGGAATACATGCAAGGCTTGGACACAACAAGCGCAGAGCCATGCCGATTAGGTCGCCGAGAAAAATGTTGCTAAGGAAGCCTGTGGCGACAGAGCATCTGGCTGCAGACCTTTACTCCAGGCAATGAGTCCACCCGAAGAGCCCATAGACAGGCTCAGTGGATCTACTTCCTTCACTGTCGGCAAAGTCCACTCCTCTGACTTGGGTGAGGTCGGCTCTGAGGGCGGATTCTCACCGGGGCTTCCCTGGAAGTCTGTGGTTTTTCGGCCTCGGCTCTGGCTCTGGGGCTCGATGAGCAAGGAGGCTGTGTCCTTCGCGTCGGTCTCCGAGTCGCCCAAGCCGTAGAGCTTCTGCATGTGTCGGATTCGAGCTCGTCGCTGCTCTTCGAAGGAGACCGCCTTCGGCGGCTTCCCGGGCGCTCTTCGCTTCGCGCCCACGGAGCTCGCCGAGCTCGAGGATCCGAGCCCCGGGCCCTTCTCGCTGTTTCGGCTGCTGCTGCTGTAGGGACGGGTACTACCGGTGCTGCTTCCGCTGGGAAGCCGGGGCCTCGGTCCCCGCCTTCGGTCGTTGGCCTTCGTCAACTGCTCCACAGTATTGCAGTAGTCATTCAGACGCACCTGCACGGAGGGCTGCCCCGGAAGCTGGGCAGGAGCACTGCAGCTGGAGAAGCCCGAAAAGCCGGATCTGGAGGAAGAGGGGGATGCCTGCTGGCTTCCTCCTCTCACCTCCCTGGTCTCGGCAGCAAGGACTTGATGCTGATGTTGTATCAGCCGTGCCAGTTTGTATTCTTGCCATGGGCCGATATACATGGCACTGAGTGCCTCCCTCCTGGGCGCTTGCCTCTAGGAGCCGAGAGCAGCGGCAACAACAGTGCTGGTGACGAGCGAGGGTGCGAACGACCACGACGGTTGTTTTGGGATGATGAAGATTTGATGGCTAAATGAGAAGGGGGATGCTTCCGGCGGCAATTGCTCAGATGATGCGGATCATGTTGGCGATGATGACGACCGTGATACTGACTTATGGTGCTGATGATGATGGTGGTGATGGTGAGGAGGAGGAGGAAAACGACGATGATGGGCTTTACTAGGAAGAGATGATGGTGCTACTATGTGCAGCTGGATGACAACAACGATGTGCTTGTCTCAAAGGATCAAGTTTCTGACTAGCTACTGATGCAGCCAGGGTCTCATTGCTGCCGACACCTCCAACTGAAACATTGCGTTTCAAAGCTTGAACGAAGCTCGAAAACCCGGGTGATCTATGCGGTGCTGCTGAGCCATAAGGGTTCTACGCATGCAGCTTAATGCTAGGACAGCTCAAGGTCGACAAGACTTATTAATGCCGCAAGGGCCAGCTGTCTCTGCCACCTGCTATTGCTGCATATATATATATATATATA